GCCATATGTTGATTTTTACCACCTTGTTTTAATGCTCGATAAATTTCTTCTTCTTTTTTATTTAATCCAAATGATGATGCACCATAACCAAGATCATCAAGTACTTCAAATGCATGATAACCAATTGTAGCAAATAGAGACATTTGATTTTTATATAAATCAATTAATTTTTGTTCTCGATCATTTCCACGACAGGTTTTTGTTATAATTAATTGTCGAAGAAGAATAAGATTCATAACAGGACATGTACCCGATTTAGAAGTATCACCAAGTTCATCGCTACATGAATTAACTGGAACAATATAAGACATATCAGGTTTACATTCAAGTGCACGATAAAGAGGTATTGGTGGTGGAATAGGAGCTGAAGCATTAGCTGGAAGTGGATGAGATGCACGACGAGAACCAAAACAACCAACACCTTTAAAAAAAAATAAATTATTCATTTTTGCTTTTTGAAAAACAAAAGTAAAATTCAATTATATTATACCTGATGAAGTTGGTACAATATCTACTTGTTGAACATTTGTATTTGTTGTTTTTGTTTTAGATGGATATATACCTGTAGCTGTACCACCTAATAACTCAATGGCTTCATCTACAATAGCGATTTGTTCACGTCGTGGTAAAAATGGCCATCGAGTAATAACATAAAATAAAGCGATACCAAGAGATTCAAGTTCACGAAACAATAATTGTAATACAGGTGTATTAGCGAATGCACCTGATGTACGACAAAATATGGCAGCTCGTGGAATAATATGTCGATCAAGAAATTTTTCTTGTAAAAATGCATGAGCTTCACGTTCCGTCCATTGTTCAATACCTATTAACAGTAAAAAACTTGTTAGCGCAGCTTCTTTAGGGCTGAAATATGAAACTCATACGAAAATATTTAAAGTGAAAAATCTCTAGCAGAGTATAGTTATTTTCCAAGGATAATCGATCGCCAGAGAAATGATCTAACTTATTTTGAATAGAATTTTTTTTCTTTTTCTACTAGTGCTGTTTTATATTTTCATATTCCGTTTTTTCTTAATTTAACACTATTATTATAGCCATTGATTTAGCTGGCAAATAAGTCTGCTATACATATCCATTATATCTACAGTCGGTCTCAACGAAATATTATATATCTCGGCAAATTCAGAAGCATTCACAAATGTATTCCGAGCATTTATCGCAAGAAAGATTTTGGAATGTTCTAAAACAGTTGAAGTCTTATCATTAATGCCGTTCAACGCTTTTTTTCTGTTGCTAAAGCACTCTGAGAAAGGAGTTCGAAGTATGTTGTCCTCATTTTCCAAGGAAAACATAGTCATTGCGTAGGCGATGAAACGTGGAGGCTGGATAAGACTTGTGCCTTACCAGAATTGGGCACTATTCGCCCACGCTGTCTCGATGAAGAACATAGCTAAATAGGCTGAAACGGCTTATCATCTACTCTATGCATAACGCAAACCCCATTGAGATATGAAATGTTTCAAAAAGATAAGTTCTCTTAGTAATTTCGCCTACAGATAGATCTAGTTGCGAGTAGAATGTCCAGAAAATTGAAGTTGAAAATAATGTTTTCTTCGCGCGATATCTCGTGAAGGAAACATTCTTTCGAGCTGAAATTCTTAGAACATCCTAGTCACCAGGGCATCTATCTGTGAACGAAATTTTAAGTCGAAATACCGTCATTCAACTTGTTGATACATATCGTGTCATACTCTAAAATTTCAGTAAAATGGCTATAAGTCTGAAAGAAAAGTCGAAGACCGCTTATTTTCCTGAGATATTTCATATGTGACTGTAGATTTCGAAGTCAAAAATGGTTTACCAACTAAAACAGTGTCCTCGTAAACTTCAACTCATTTAAAAATGTTTCTCCATCTCTGATCTTTAAGCCTGGTTGCAACAAAAAAAGTCAAACATTTGTTCGTTGATTAGATCACAATAAATTCGCAAGAATTATTGAAGAATTTTCTTACCACGTGTATCCCACCATCTTACACCAAATTGATCAGTGTAAGCTGTTGTTGTTTGTGTACAAGTATTTAAACCTGCACTAGTTCGTATTTGTTCATCACCTGAAAGTTCTCGTATTAATGTTGATTTTCCAACACGAGCTGGACCAAAAACAAGTATTTCAAATTCTGATGAAATTTTTTCTATTGCTTTAGCATCAGCTATGCCTGTATTAGAATAATTACGTGTACGAATTTCTAGAAGACGTTCACGTAAATAGTTTTGTAACAGTGGTTGTTCATGTTCATTTGTTTGTAAATAATCAGAATCAGCTTCAGCTACAAGAAATTGTGATGGTGATATTGAAGTCATGTGTTATGTAGGAATCAAAATGCACTTTATGAAAAGAAGAAAGAAAAAAATGTACCTCATTTTATATTGTTGTCGACTTTCTTTCTTTTTTTTTTCATTCGATTCTTTTTCTTTTGTCGTTTCTGCTTATTAAGAATTCTTCGATCGTTTCTTTTCTGTTTTTTTTTCTCTTTTTTATTTAAGATCATTTAATTTTCTTTTTCTCGTTCGCTACCTAATTTTACAGTCAATTCTTTTAAAACATTGGCAAGTTCATTTACTAATTCAAGAAAATCTTTGTTTACAATTATTCCACGTAAATCAACTATTTGCAGTTGACATGTTGGATGTTTAACTAATGGACGTAAGATAGCATAGCAACCACTTGATTCTAATGGATTTCCACTTAATGTTAAGACTTTTAATGATTCATTTTTTGATAAACCTTTACCAATATATGTAGCACATTCAGTATTAAATCGATTATTATCTAAATAAAGTTTTTCTAATATTGTATTTTTTCTTAATAAATCATTTATAGCTTTAGCTGCTAATAGTCCAGCACCATTCCAAGATAAATCAAATGTTGTTATATGTGTATTTGTAGCCAATGGTTTTATAATATAACTACATGCTTTCGAATTAAGACGATTCCAAGCAAGATAAACTTGTTCTAATGTTTGATTTTCACTTAATGTTTTACCAAAAAGACGACCTGTTGTTTCATTTTCAAAGAAATTTTTACTTAAATTTATATAAGTTAAAAATTCATTTTGAGAGAATACTTCAGCAAATAATGGTGCACAATCATCATTAAAACGATTACCATCAAGATGGATTATACGAATTGAACGATTTGAACTAAGTATTCGACAAAGAGCTTTACATCCTATGAAGAGAAAAAAAAAAAAGAAAGAACGGAAATATGATAAAATCGATTCTTGCAACAATGAACTATATAAATAGTTTAAAGGCTAATCAATTGTAAAGTTTCTTATGATCGAGAAAACATCTTTTCAACGATAGTTTATCAATAGGATATAAGATAATTGAATATAATGATGTTTTTCATAGTGATGCACTAGATTTATATTCGATCATCTATTCATTCTCATGGTATGTTATTCGATTAAATATAGAGAACAGGTTTTCATTTCTTTTGTTCCCTTTTTTTTTAAACTGATAGCAACTATATATGAATTATTAATCTCAATTTATACATGAAAAATCTCTCAGAAATCAAATTCATCTTTAATTTCGAAAAAGAAAAGAATGATATTGATCAGTTTATATTTTTCATTTTTATATATTCATACCTTGTAGACCAATATCATTATTTGCAAGATTTAATTCATCAATATATTCATTGTCTTTAATTAAATATGCTATATATATAGCACCTCGTGATCCTATACTATTATCTCGTAGATCAAGTTTTGTAATTGTTGAATTAATTTTTAATGATGGTACCATAACTTTAATATTAATTGGTTTTAAACCACAATAACGTATTGTTAATGATTCATTATCAATATGACGTAAAAAATGAGTTGATGGTATAACACCATGACGACGACATTGATCTATATAAACACCTTTACATGAATAATCACGATGTGGTTCTTGATCTTGTTCAATATCTGTATCATAATCAAATTCATCGGATAAATTTGAAATTTGTCTTACTGTACCATTTTCATTATTGATTTCAGCATTTTCATCTAATATATCATCATCATCTTCTTGAATAACAGCTGCACTTAAAGCTGAATCTGGACGTTCATGTGAACTCGTAAATCCAGCTGAACGTGTTCCACTACGAATTAATCGTTTTGGTTTAGCATCAGCGGATAAAATTAAACGTGTTTGATTATCAAGTAATTCAGGTCTTTCGAAAAGATTATGTGTAGTCATGAATTCTCTCTTACTGTTTTTTAAATGCTCGACACTTCAACAATAACTTTTTGTTCTTATCGTTAACTGTTTCTTGTGCACATACACAGATGAAAAAAAAAAGTGAAGATATGAAATTCTATTGATGCGAAAAAAAAAGAAAAAAAAAAGGTGAAGTGCAAGTCATTCAAAGAACAACAGCTACATGTAAATGAAATTAAAATAATCTTAAACGTGCCTGTTTCGAATCGAGCAATCGTAAACTTTCAGACAGTACGAAAGAAACAATAACATACGAACATATGTCTTCAATTAATAAATGTCTAAGAAACGAACAATTCAATTTGGTTAATCAATAGAGGTTTCTATTGTAGTAAATCGAAAAAAATGATCGATTGTATAGTTATAAAATAGATTCTAATAAATGTACTGAATTTGGAATGACGATTAGTAAATTAATAAATTTTGTCAAGGATTTTCTTTTTTTTTTTGATACAAAATACTACTATTCGTTTCCAAATATAGAAAAACAAGGTTAGTGTTTTAAGAATAACTTTTGATAAAGTTCTGACCGTTAAAAAGAGGAAATAAAAATTCATCGAACAACTTAATATAGATTTTTTCTGATTAGTTTATTAGAGATTCTTCTATCGAATTTCTTCGAACAAAAAAAACTTTTAAAAATCAGCAAATTTCTTCCAATAAAAAATAGTTATTTCTCTTGGTTGAGCTAACCTAATAATATGACTCTTGTAAATTTTCAATTAATGTACCTAACAATAAATGATCCAGTACTTTAATTCCATACGATCCTTTATTGTTCGAAAAATTGAACTGAAAGAATTTCAGAAAAATCTGTAATATAGAATTCAATATGCTCTAATTTCTGCATTCAAACGAAGAATGTCGTAGATTTCTATCAAAAATTATTCTTATTTTATTTCCAAATGGATAATAGATGTATTGGAATCTTCAATTATTCACATACTAAGCTCATTTGCAACTTGACGGTTCGTTAAATATCTCTGATATACGAATACCTATTCTATTGAAAATTCAAATAAACTAAGAAATATTCAACAATATTCATTTAATTATCTTTAAAATGTTAATTAATTTAAAAACTTACAAAGATTTTTTTTATAGAAATTATTAAGAACAATAAGCTATATTTATTATTTAGTAGAAAAACAAAACTTGAACAACCGATTTATTACACTATTTTGAAAATATAACTTCCTTATATTGTTTTAAATTATTTATTGTTTGTTCTATTTCAAATGACAGTAATTGGATAAAATCCAGTAAAAAGGAAACCTACCCTTGCAATGTCGAAGCGGTTTTTTTTCTCTTACATTGTTACAGAACAGAATAAAAAAAAAACACATTCTAACGTATTATTTTTTCATATTATTCCTTGATTTTATTACTTTTATTTGACTCATCATGAAGCATGTTGTAGCTGACCTATACATAGATAAGAAAAATATCTATTGTTGTTTTCTTTTTAGAAGTTTATGATTAATATATCTCATTTCATAATGTGCAAATAGGTTATTTTTAATTGGCAAAAAAAGAAAAAAAAAAAAAGAGAAATTACAAATCATTTATATCATGTTTATTTTTCAAAACAAAAAAATACAGTTATGTAGTAACCGGTAGTGATGTATTTACTGTATGTAATTTGTATTTGATTGCAGTAGATATTGTTGGATGTTGTAATCGTTTGATAACAAGTTTTAATGGTGGTTTTTTCGTCATGATTGTTGATGATGAAGGTGAAGGAGTAGCTAGTGATGGAAGATAACTAATAGAAAGTGATGAGGATTTTTCTTTACAATTGGATGTTTCTTCGAGAATGTGATGATCATCTGATGATCTTAGTTTTTCTTCTTCTTCGTCTTCATTGTCGCTCTCCCATAGATTATTATCATCATCATTAAACAATGGCTGAAAAATAAGAGAAATTTAAGATTGATTTGTTTTCTTATCATCTTTCTATGTCATAGAAGAAAAAGTTTATGTAGTTTATTGTTACTCGATAAATGTGAAAGAATATCATGTGAAATACAATTTTCTTTCGATAAAAAAAAAAGAATTTGAGTTATTTTTAAAGTAAAGATTTCTTTTTTTTTATAAGAAGTTACTTTTGCATAATAGAAGAATAATAATTATTTGACCTAAATTCAGACTTTTTTTTTGGTCAATTAGATTGGATAAGAGATTCAGAAAACATGATTTTTATAAATAAATGAAAGTATCATCTATAACTAACCTACATTAACTGATACGCTCGAAAGCGTTTAATATATTACCTTAGCTGCTTCAATATAACGTCTTTTAATAATATTAATATCAAGATATGTATTATTACATTGAATATCAATATTTAATTGCTTAAGTTCATTTAAACCTCGTTGTATATAATCTAATTTATTTTTCATTTCATTTAAATCATCTATATGAATTTGTTTTTGTTTTAATACTTTACGTAATTGTTTTATTAAATTATCTTTTAACTGTTTTTCTTGTTTATTTCTATATGTATCAAATTCTATACGTGATTGTAAACATAAAAGTTCAATTTGTTGTTTTTTATCAATATAAATTTTATTAATAAAATTTATTTGTTGATTATGCCATTCATCTAATTGTTTAAATAAATATTCACGATGATTAGTAGAATCAAATAATAAATTATTTAAATCAATATGAACACGATCTATATCATTACATAAAACATTTAATTCAGAACGAAGTAATTCTTGATGATAATTTAAATGTTTAAGACATAATTGTAATTGACAATGTGGACAAAGTATATAATCATTTGATGTACATTGATTTCCATCTATATCTGAATGTTGGCAAAGATTTCGAGCTGAAGCCATTATGATAATATTATTTAGAGAAAATAAAAATTGTCATTGAATATGAAATAAAAGTTAGTGAGCAAGTATTGTGAGACAAAAGAAAGGCAGAACGAAAGGAAAAAAGTAATAAAAGAAAGAAAGAAAGAAGAAAAAAAGAAGAAAAAAAGAACCTTTACAAGCGTTAAAAATGTAATAATGACGAAAACTTTTTATAAACATGAAGAATTGAATTGAAATTCATATAAATATCTTTCAAAAAAGATGATAGAAATGATGTTTCCTTTAAAAAAAAAAACAATAACAACAGTTCTTATTCAAATATAAAATAAGATTTCAAGAGAATGACCTCTGCTATTAAATACAAATATTCATTAGTCTTGATAGTTTTTTACTAGAATTTATTAAACATGAAATGAAACAACATTCAATGAATACTTTATGTTCAGTTGTCGAATAGTTTATATCATTAAATCATTAGTGAATTTGTCAATATGTTTCAGAAACCTTAGTTTTGTAGATGGCGCACTAATGATTAGAATAATTGAATTTGGCTAATAGTCACAGTATACATGTCTTTCAAAGTGAACTTTTGTTTTTCTTTTAAATAAACTTGATAATTTCATTAGGATTTGCTAATATTTTCATGCAGCTAAAAAATCTTGAAAGTTTGTATACCTTGGAAAACTTTGCCGATTTCACCGTAAGATATTACACAATTACTTCATAGTCACGTATATAAAATTTCATTGAGTCATTCATAGAAGAAATAAATGTTTGCTTTTAAACATAACAAAATGTAAGTAATTGATATGACGGGTTTTTCTTGAATATTTTTAAGTTTAGAAAATGATTCATCGTTTACTAGACGTTGGAGAAAAATGACTAGTCTTAAATTTGTTTACAAATGGATTAGTGAACTAGTAAATAGATAGTTGAAAACGTCATGTTTACATTGCAAAAATAAGACAGTATTATATAGGATTTAGGATAAAAATAATTATACCTCTAGATTCATTACCTAAAATATAATTGTCCTATACCATAATAAACAATAATAAAATACAATATTTATTTTTTATTAATTTATTGTAAATCGAAGAAATAGAACGATAAAGTCACGTGATTGAGTCAATATTTTCTGGAGGAAAGCATGCAAAAAAAAACATTTCTTGTTAATGTTTATTCCCATGGAAACTAAATGTTATAATATACACAATGGTAATATCAATAAAGTTATCTGATATGAAAATCGAGAATACAAGCATCAATTATTTTTCACAAGATGAAACAAGTACATTTGGATCCAATCCCATTCACTTGCAAAACACATACATTTTGTATTCTTCATTCTGAAAACAATAGTGTTTCCATTATTGTCGAAGACAAAAAAAAGGTTCACACATAATCTAATATTGATACTAAAGTAACCTATTCAAATGATATCACATTTAGAATATATCGTGAACTATCCATTTATCATTCAGAGTTCTTGTTTTAGATGTTCTGCATAGTAAAAACGGCACAATTGTTAAACTTGAACTTTTTTCAATATTAGTTTTGTTTGATATTTAAGAAAATGACGAAAAATAAATGATTTAAAAGAAACTCTTTAATGACTGAACCGATTTATAATGATTAGATCTTAATACCTTATGTTGAATAAATTGAGAAAAACATTTAATCAAAATTAAAAGTCATTAAATATATATTTTTTCATGAAAACTAGATCAAAAAAGATAAAGACTACGTTCTAACTAAGTATCTGAAATGTATCACACCACAGCTGGATACAATATACCTCTATACTGTGGACTCCATATCATATCTCATAAGCCAAACTACGACACATGAGATATATTTAATAGATAAAGGTGCACAATAAAAAATAAATGAGTCGTTCTTTTCGTTCTGTATGTGAAGTACGAACATAAAAAACAAGACGAAACTCTAACTAAAGAAGTTCATAATTTTATAAATTGTACTTTTTCATACGCGTGTTTTGAATAATAATAATAATAACCAAAAAATTAATTGAAAACAAAACGCAAGGATATTGCTTGCTGAAAATGTTTACTAGAGTATAGTTTAAAATTTGGTGACAAGCATTAGTTTATATTCTGTGTCAAGAATAATACACATATCCAACATATGTAAGCATGATTTGTTTGCTTGCATCTTTTGGTGAGTTCAATCCATTTATCTATAACGCGGTAGTCACAAGGAGTCCCGCTATCGAGTGAAAAGCACATAAACTTCAATCCTTTTGCCTACAAATAGAGCTTGGTGAATCCTGATTGCAAGCAGCAACCTGAGGTCGACAGGGAAGCCTATATTATCTAGGATGATCTCAGCATGGATCTCTTCTAAATCGATGGCAATGATCGTGAAGTTTTGATGGAAAACTTGATTAGACCAGAATACTCATTGGAAAAAATTTTGAAGGCAAATGGTTAAAATTAGTCAGAGATATCAGTCACTTTTCGATAGTACCTATGAACTTTCATATGGAGATTACTCAAAGAATACTTCATAAATCAAACAAGCTATTAAAACCACTTGGCATGAAATTTTTACTGGTGATAGATGTAGCACTTAGCTAGTGAATGAGAGATCTAACGTCATAAGATTTGTTTGTTTTTTTTTTATGTTAAGAAATTCTTGTCTGAAGAAAAAATCTATGTTGACCTTCTACATTCATTGCATAAAGTCGTCCTTGTAATCAAAATTCAACATGCTCAATTTGTGGTCAAATTTAATCTATGAATAATGTGAGATTGATTTGATAAAATAAATATGTTCCAATGTGGATGTCAAGCAGACTAGTATCCACATTTTCAAAAATATGTACTATTTATTTATGAAGAAAAATCACATATGGAATTTTTTATACTCGAAAATACTATTCCCAAAATAGAAGAAAATTGTTCTAGTTTTTTTTTTCGGGAACTTCTGAGTTTATAATATCTGAGATCTAATCGTCTGTAATGTATGTATTAGAATTAAAAATAATCTCAATGCAAATAATATCAAAGCATCAAGGTTAGTTTTACTTCTAATACTTGAAAAGCATTAGAATAAATAATAATAAATGCTAATGTAATTTCTACTACGATACACCTAATTCATTCAGAAAGAAGGACTATTCTTTATTTATACAAAATTTAATTAAACCTTTTGAATTGCAAAAACAAAATTGATTTATGTTTATTTATTCGTAATAGTTTATAAATGAAACTAATATTATTGACCTATACACAGTGTTCTCTTTAGTTGAAGATTTTGTGATTAAAAATTCATGAAATTTAGATTATTTATTATATTATAATCAGTCTATCATTTATTTCAACTTTTGTTAGTATCCTTTATTCTTTTACTATTGCCAATGAATTGCAACAACAAATATATTTAATAAATATCAATTTATGATTTGTTGTTTATCAACATAGCTAATGGATAATATGATCATTTTTTTTTTAAATTATACTTTTATGCTTAATAATACAGAAAATACATTTACATATAGATTTCTATTATCGTATGTCGATTAATTTATCAGAATCAAGATATGAAAGATTTATAAGATTCGTATTTGTTCTTTATCTTTTCTCAATTATCAATGTCAAGCGGTTGAAGCAACAAAACACATGAATGTGAAGCATTTTCAGCATTCAAAAAGAATTATAACAATGATTATTAATGATAAATAATAATAAAAAAAAAAAGTATAATTCAAATATTCTGTTCATATTTAAGCACATGTAAGTTCATTTTTGCTAAGACCACTTGAACATTTATTTGCCTCCCATGCATATTTCACCTTTGTATTTTTAGTAAGTTTTCCACAACCAGTAAGTGCATAACTTTCTACCAGAGCTTTACATGCTTGTTCACAATTGACCATAGCTGCATTACTGCATGAGCAAAGTTTACATGAAGATATATCCCATGAATGATATGATATATGTATTACTTTTGATGCAACAGCTTTGCATTTACAACTATATCAAACATTATGATCTTTTTTAAAAAATTTCTTCTATATTTAAAAATTAATTTTTACTTACTGACGATCAAATATATTACCATTGACAGTAATCAAGAGTGTAAATATAGCAAGAAGAAAAAGCTTCATTGGTAAACTTTGAAAATAGAAATATATATAAAATCTACCTTAAACGTTGCATTTATATATACTGTATACTCTATTTGATTCATGGTCATTTGTTTTTTTTTTCTCTATTTATTGTATTACAAACGATTGATATATTCATTTTTAGGTATGAATCGTAATGATGCCATAGGATTAAACATGATGATTGTTGACACTTGAGATTCAGTGAGATGAGAAAAAGAGAAAATTTAAGAAAGAAAAATGTCAATATGAATCAGATATACAGACGTAAATACAAAACCAAGGTTGATATGTAAATGTAAAGTGTGAGTGATATACGAAACTATTTCTTTTAATTCTGAACATTATCGTTTTTAAGAAGAAAAATAAGAAACTTTCTTTTATTATGTTACAGAATATATTTCATATAATCAAAAGAAAATATATTTAGAAAACTAATCAGTAATGAGAAGTTTTAAAAATTATATCCATGAATTGAAGATATTAATCGATCATTAAGCCTCGTAGATCTGAATAAATTTTCAAGTTATAAATAGCACCATATATATATATATTCATTTACTTCGATTAGCATAAATAATATCTGATTATAGTCTTTGAATTTGATTATCCCCATTGTTTCAATACTTTTTTAATTAATCGAGTTTCTTCTTAATAATAGAAGTTTTTTTTCTTCTTATGATGTCTTTTCAGTATTCATTCTTTCGTTCATGTCAAACTGTAATAATGACAGAAATGAACTTCTTATAAAAATTCCTATTGTATGTTTTATAATTCACTATATGAAATTATTTTTTCTGTCAATATTTTTCTAGTATAAAATTGTCTTCACCGATTAAGATGGAAAGAAAATTGTTCATTAAACATCTCATTCATGTCATTTCTTCATTTGATTAACAATTTTAATGCAAAATATCAAATTATAGTACGTTTATCTTTGCAGTGAAGCCATTAAATATACATAAGCTCGTACATAATTTATGCATTAAAGAATAATTAAGTAATTCAAAAGAAGAAAAAGAATAAAAAGGTAAATATTTAAAATTTTTTATTTCTAAAAATGTTTCATTCTAAATTGCATTTAAATATAAGAACAAAAAAGGCAAAAAGACAGCACTCAGCATAATGGACGGTAGCAATTGAAATAGTAGAACCTAAAATGAAAGAATAATTTTCTTTTTTTTAATTTTATTTAATGATTATAATTATAATGTTTACTATGAAATAGTTCATGTTCATGTTCAATTGATGGTAATTGTCTGGTAACATAAACTTTTGATGAACGAAATAATTTATAAATATAATCACGTTTATCATTTTTATTCATTGATAAACGATCATTATGATTATTATTAATAAATGATGATGAACAATCGATATTACGTTGAATTTCATTGTTATCATCATTATGTAAAATTTTACATTGAATTTGAAATGGAATTGGTTCTTTAAGTATATGATAAAGATAAAATGAAAAATGAAATATTGATAATGAGGAAGAATTTCTTAGAACATGAATCACAGTTGGATCAATTGAACAACTAAAATAAATAAAAAAAAGCTTTTCTTTTTTTTCTTAGTTGTTAATTTTTACCCTTGATAAATCAATCGTCTTGATCGTACATAATTTGTATATGGATAAAGTGCTTTTAAATCACATGAATCAATTAAAAATTTTGATGATATTAATGATAAATCATCAAGTGTTATATTAATAAAAGAATAAAGTGATATAAAACAAGATTCAGGGCAAAAATGTGAACGATTATGTAATGTCCATGTTAAAGCAATTCTTAAAAACATTAAAAAAATTAATATTATGTATTTTATTTTTGAATTACCTATAAGTTGAATTAATTTGTTGGTCATCTTTAGAATTTTCATTATGATTTATATGTACTAATAATGGATTTCTACTATCTGAAAATGTTGCTGTAGTTGATGTTCGATGAAATAAATGTATTTGATTTATATTATGTAGACAAACAAAAAAACGTTCATATTGTTTGATAGAATTGTTATTTTTATGTACATTTTTCCAACGAAGTTTACCAATAATCGAATCATTTGTTAATATCTATATATATATATATCAAAAGAAATAAAAAAAAAAACCTTTTTAGTCATCTGATTTGACATTTAAATAGCAAATTTCAGGGAATCACTTCAATAGTGAATCTATCTATCATAATAGATGTTTTATAGAAGATAGTATTGTACTTTTCTTTAACAATAAAAGTATTAAATTCTATACAGATCCGGAGTTAAAAATTCGAAAAAAAATGTGAATGATGACTATATATAATTTTATCTTGGGAATCACTCTATCCGACCTAATAATATGTCTCAAAATACAATCAATCGAAAAAAAAAATCGAATTTGCTAAACTAATAATCTTTTCTAATTATTTGAAAAATTTGTCTATATACAATCGAATACTTTTATCATAAAGATTAATTTTAATATAGATACGTTAGATTTACGAGGTAAAGGTGTGTTAAGTCCTTCTGAAAATTCTTTCTTAATTACAATTGTGAAATCTAATCAAGAGTGTTAGAACATATCGATTGCAATGATAAAACTTCATCATTAAATATTCTAGATGAATTCGTAACTAAAACAATCAACTATCTAAATATATCAAGTTACATCATACTAAACGTCTAACTTGCTTAGTTATTTCATCTTCGGATTCGGATAGGACAACAGTTCTAAGCAATTAAAACATCTTCCTTGTTTTATTATTTTAAAGAGGCTTCCGATAATCTTTCCTGTTGTTTTAATTAACAAAAAAATTCAATTATAATAAATCTCTTTTTTTCTTGACCTGTCATTTTCCATCTTAATCAAATAGGACTGAAATGAAAATTTCTTTCAAGTTTTTATTATTTTAACTTTTTCATTTAATTTAATTGACTCTTTTAAATTAAAACTTAATATTTAGACATTTTTCTTTTCTTTCTATTCAATACCAATGAACAATCATTAATATGTGTAATAAATTGTGCATGTGTTTCATTTGACCAATTTGTTTTACAATTACGATCACCAAGTAGAACATTATTTGGATCAATACCATTTAATTGTATCGTTACAAATAATTGATCATTTGGACAATGAATTGTACTTAATTTTAATACTAAAATAAATTAAATAAAAAAACAATATAAAGAAAAATTTTTAAATAAACCTTTATTATCTTTTCGACAAACAATTTCATAATAATCAACAAATCCATTATGTCTCATTATTAATGGATAATCATTTAATGAAATATTTGCTCGTACACATAGACCGTATCCATTTCTATGCCAATGTTCAAATGAACGACATTTTTGAGGATCAATTCTTAGACAACGATCAAAACAATCAAAGTCCGATATCCAACGATCATGAAGATCATTATAACCATGTAATGCTATATTACTATGTTTTTCATAGAAACAATCTTCAACAAAATAAAAGTAGAAGATAAATTAAAACAAAAAGAAAAGATTTATTTATTTACTTTCTAGATAATTCAATGCCATGAGTTTGATTTTCAATTGAAAAATTATAAATATGAGCATCACCCACAGGCGGCAGCTCATGGTAAATAATCATTTTTTATGATAAAATGGCTTCATCTAGTATTAGCAACAACTTTATTATAGTTGTTGTTGAATTAGCCATAGAAATTTATCTGTAAATGACAAGTTTTAATTAACGTTTTTTTTTTCTTCATTTACCTTTTGGCTATGTGTTATATCAATCAGTATTAATATATCTATGCATGTCAGTGAGAAGATAATGAACTAACTTTGCCTTACAGCTTGTTGTTGTCATCTTGTGCAGATTTTTCAATTATTCTTCTACTGCTTTCTCCTTCTTTTTTTTCTCCTTCGAGTAGTATATGTTCGTGCATGCGAAAGAAACAATTCCTTCTCGTTGCTTTTTTTTTTCAAAGGAAATACTAATTTCTCTAGTCTAGTTATGAAGTAAAAAATCAACTAACGATGTTCGTCAATGTAATAAACAATTCTCGACACCTTGTTCACGTTTTCTTCAGAAATACAAGTGTTTAAAAGGCATTTGACAAGGTGAAACATTAAATGTATGAGTTAAAAAGTCATCAATCTTCGCTCGTTCAATTTTTAATTAAAACAACAGTCAAATACAAAAAAAGAAAAGCCTTTTGCTCTTTCGTTCTATTCATATAAAACGACAGTTGTATCCAAGTCCCCGAAAGCCTAATGAGTGTCACACGGCGTTAGATTCAGACTTCGCTTGTCAACACTAAGCGAATTACACTATATAACTGACAGAAAAGGGACGTACATATATACATGTTAATGTCTTTGGCAGATCGCTACAGAATGTTCGGCATTTCTCTTTTTTTGTTTATTTGTTTTAAACAATAATATTTTAGAGATCGATTATAGAACAACGAATACAATGGTTACGATTGAATGAAATATTTTTTTTTAATTTCTTCTTTAATAACAATAATAAATATTTCGATAATCTCTCAAATATTCTTGATAAGAATATCATAAAAGTTTTCTTCTATAATATTCAATTCAAGCACAAAAAAACAATCATGATTTCAATATTTTTCATTGATCAATAATCAATTTTTAAAAAGAATATTTAAATACTTACTTCGATCATTTTACACATATTGTTGTCATTAAAAAAAAATGCAATATGGTTTATATATGTTGACAAAAACTCGATTCTTCTCTTCTCTACATCGATCGTTTAATAAAAAAATAATAATATATAGCTTCTTTTTTTTTTTTTTTTTTGCTTTTCTCTTTACTGAACAGAATGAACGAGAGAGAGTGAAACAGGATATAAAATATTATGATAGTAATAGTATATGAAGCAAACACGCCCACATATAATATAAAAAGAAAAAAAGGAAAATTTCGCCTGTTGTATGTTTATTTTAAGGTAATGAGCAGTACAGCATACTTTATTATGTCCGTTTTTTTCATATGCAAGAACGGTGAAATCG